CGTGAGCCTCTCCCCTGTTTTGGGGCAGAGCAAATTCCCGGCGGAAAGCCATTTCTGAATCGAAGCTCGATCGTATGTCTGTCCAGTAGATACAGTAACAGGATCAATCATGAGCTCAAGAGAAATTGGGCATCGAAAATCTTGTGGGTTTAAACAACTGAGAGTCTCGGGATTGCATTTAATATCCGTTTGATTTTTGTCCCAAAAATCCAGAGCTTCGAACAGAGTTAATCTGCTGTAGCTCATAAAACCCATCAAACTGCTCAGAATGTGAACGTCTCGTTCTTTCAAATCCGAATATTGAAAATCAATCTCCTCCTCCAAGAACTTTATCTCTTTATTACAATCACTCCATCTTCGAATTTCGAGGTAGCTAAGAACCCGTTTAATGGCGGTCAAATCCGGTTCAATCCCTTTTTCAAACTGCAGCAAAATGGATTGAAGTCGCTTCATCGTCAGTTCATCATCTTTATCCAGTCCAAATTTCGAAATTCGTGCTTGTTTCACAACTAGTTCAACCAATTCCTTCACTTCATCGCTAGTATCAATCCGATTCAATGGCAGTACGTCCAGAGCCGTAGCGAGCGCCCGAATCAGAACCCAAAACTGAGTGGCAACGAATTGAGATTTCATTAACATCCAAATCTTCGCATTCGAACGCGAGCAATCTTCAAACAAGAACAAGATTTTTTGAAACGTGAGATGAAGCTCTGAAAAACAGAGCACAACAGAATCCGGAAGAACGTCAGACACATCGCGAAGCTCCTCGAAGAATATCAATAAGATTCCGATTTGTCGAATCGTTTCTCGAGCGTTTCGTTTTTGTGTCACGAATGTTTTCAGTTGGTGATTGCATATTTGACGGCAGAGATCGATCAACGAGGCCAAAAGGGTCGCCGGAGAAATTGCTTCGCATGGATGAACCGCCGGGAAAGTCAGAATCCGACGATCGGAGCTTTTGGAATTTTGAAACATTGAAGAATTCAAAAAATGAAAAATCTTTGTTTTGTAACAGAAAATTCTGGAGAAGAGGTACGAAATTTAAAAGAGGGAGAATCATGGAGTGGGGATTTTTCAAGTTTCAACTGAAAGGAAAAGGACGGGGGTGGGTTTGATTTGCTGCGAAAAATATGTACACGTGGAGGGTTTTTGTTGGGCATGTGTAGCTTCCTGGATCCTGCTCGGTTTCGGGTTCGGGTTTTTAATCAGGTACGGATAACTGTGGGCTCCACAAACCGACCTAGAAACGTGGACCAATGGAATAGCGACATGTTACTTGCGGCAAAGGTATTTGTCAGCTTGGTCTACGCAACGTCAGATCCGACTCGTGGCTGGACGCGTGTTTAGCTGACCTCAATTGAAATCTTATCTTCCGAAAATTAAAAAAAATCTAAATTTAACAACATAATTTAAATATTAAAGAAAATAATACTAATAATAGTCTAAGGGGTTTTTATTTTATTTTATTTTATTTTATTTAAGGTTATCCTCAAAATATTGTATGATATTATAATTGTCATGAGAGAATTTAAAGCTACCTTTCCTGAAGGGAAATAAGCTTACATTTCCATTTCGTATTTGAACTTTCCAGAATTTTTCATTTTTCTAATATTCTTTAAAAAAAAAAAAATCATTTAAAAAGACTAATATTTTTGTAATTTCGAAAGGAATATAACTCAATAATTAATCTGTTAAAAAAAAAATCATATATTTCAATCAAATTAATAATTATTATTTTGATATATATATATATATATATATATATATTCAATAATTTATCAATATTTTTTCAGATTTAAAAGTTAATTTTTTATTTTTTTAATAAACAAAACTAATTAAATAATGAAAGTATACAGAAACAAATATGGATTAATATATACTCGTGAGTATTGAAATTTTAAACTAAATTCATAAAATATACTTTTTTTTACTTTAAACATTAAAATTTTAAAAAATATCGGTAAATTTTTAGAAATTTTATTAATACTTAAAAAAAATTATAAACTTTAAAAAAAATGCCTTTAAATTTATTTTTTAAATTAAAAAAAAAACATCTTTAAATTTATGTATAATTTTTTTATAAAGATGAAGGATATTAATACTATTGTATAACTCTATTTTTAAACACGATACTAACTAACTAATATTGTGAATTTTTTAAAAAATTTATAATATTATCTTGGAAAATGATATTTTTTATTTTTTAAAAAATTTAAGGGGTTTTTTTAGATTAAAAAAAAACATAGATATTTTTATTAAATTAGTGTTTTTATATTATTAAATATAAAACCAAATAATGTGAAAAGAAAGAAGAGGGAGGTGTCGGCAGGTAATGAGTTGGGATATATTAAATCATACGTGGCTTTAAGTGCTTAATTATTCATAATTTAATCATAAAAGCATATATTAAAAGCTTGGGGTAATAGTTAGTATTCAAATGATTAATCAATTTCAATTTGTAGGTTCCTTAATTTGTCAAAGGACAGCTAGCTACCTCGTTGCATTTATTCATTATTTCTCATATTTTTATTTTATTTTATTTTATTTATTTTTTAATATTCTCATGTTCCAAATTTCAAATCTTTTTTGTTTAATAGATTCATATTATGTGGCTTCATATGAATGACGTTATCATTATCAATAAATTAATATATTATTATTATTAATGAGACAAGATATTCAAGTAATAGGACGTAGCCGCTGAATTTGGCAGCATTAATTTGATAACGACATAATTTTCCTAAAAATAAATAAATAATAATAAAACTATATTGTAAATTCATATTTCTAAGGAATCTAGAATTTTTTAAATAATTTATTTATTTTGTAGGAATTTTTTTTTATGGATAACAAAATATTATATATATATATATTTGTTTGTATTGATTTAATGTTTATTTTTATATCCATTTATTTGGTATGTTATTTAGTGGATCCCATATATTAATTTGAGATTCTATAAAATATTAATACTCCAATAAATTTATAATAATCTCTCAAACATTTGAATCGAGAATAGAATAACTAAAAATAATTTAGAAAAATTGAAATTTATTACTATATAGGTGAACTTAAAATCAAAACCTTAATTTGGTGATGTTCAAATTTTTAGTTCTCTCGGCCAATTTTTAGTTCGTTTTCCGTCGAGATACCATTGACGACTTTTTTGTTCAATTTTTTTTATAGAAAATATGATGAATTAGTTATAGAATATATAATATTCGTAAGCATTAAATATTTGAAAAATATATTAGTTAGGGAATATATGTTATATATTCATAGATTTGATTAGTGGTATATTTTATTTTATTTTCAAGATTTAGTTAGTTTATAATGAAATCAAATTTAAATAAAGGGCATTATAAGATCATTCATTCTTCAGCGATTCAAAGAGCGGTTCATTTTTGGAAAAAAGTTACCCAACATAGTTTATTTATTATTTTTTCTTTTTTTATTTTGTCTTTCTAATTATTTAGAATCTATTTAATAGATTTATATATTAAATTAATTTTTAATAAATTAATTATTGTTTATAATAAGAATATTAGTTTTTACAACGCAAGTCCAATGAATCCGTTTATTCCGAATCGCGGGATAGAGAGACAGATGACGAATTGAACGTATTAGTTGGTATCTATTCTATTTCTGATTCGTAATAATATTTTGATATCTATTTACACTTGTGAGAGGTAGATATTGGGTAAGAAAATTATAGTGATGGTTTAAAAATAAGATATTGATTTAGGGTTTAGGGTATAGATTAAATAAAAAAGAAAAAAAAGGGAGCATTCGTTGAACTGAAAATAAGGTAAAAGAATCAAGTAATGAATCCATACAATTCACCTAGAACATAACACAAAATAAGCCTTTTGTCGATTTCATGATGTTGTTATGGCAGCGAGCAGTACGAGGCAAGGGAAAATCACATACTCTAAATCCACCACTCTTATTTCATGCATTCAAAATTTAAACCTTTTAAGATCCTTCCATTTCTTCCCCCAAACTTTTTCAACTTCACTATAAAATGCACCCATTGCATCAAATCCATCACTCAACACTTAAAAACCCTTCATAAAATGGCCTTTCAAAACCTCGATGCCCCTACCATCGTCACCGACCATACTCGACCCATCACAATAGTTCAAAATGGTGCCTCTTTTGTGCCAACTTTTCCAGATTGCTACGTCAATATTGATGAAGAATTTCCTGGTAATATACATTAAAAGTCATCTCGCGAACGTTCCTTAGGTTACTTTTAATTCGTTATTAACGATTATTTTAATGATGTGATTAAATAAATAGGGGAGGCACATGTGTATAAGCAAGAGAAGGTCATATTCCAAGGCAAATCCCAGTATCAAGATTTTTTTGTTTTTCAGGTTTTTATATATATATATATATATAATTTTCTTGAATTTATTGTTATTATTGACTAATTTTTACTAATTTATTTTATTTTTTTTATTAAATTTGAGTCACAAACATATGGGAAGATTGCTATATTGGATGGCTGCCTTCAGCTAACAGAGAAGGATGAGTGTTCTTATCAAGAAATGCTCACTCATCTCCCACTCTGTTCTATTCCCAATCCCAAAAAGGTTTTTTTTTTTTTTTTTTTTTCCTTCTTTATATATATATATATATATATAAATAACGGTTAACTAGATTTGAGTCGAATTCTACTGGCTAATCGTTACTTTATAGGTTTTGTTGATTGGGGGCGGGGATGGAGGAATTCTTCGAGAAATATCTCGACATGCTTCCGTTGAACAAATTGACATTTGTGAGCTTGACGAAATGGTGATAAACGTGAGTGTATGGTTTTGAGTTTTAATTTATTAGCCGAAACAAATTTTTAGTAAAAATAAGAGATCTCACATGATCTATCATTCAACCTTCACTTTTTGGAGCTTTCTTTGCTCGATCGGTAAGTCGTTGCTGTTTCCAGCTTTGCGGCTAACAAATGGCATTAGGTTTAACACAATTATGAGACAAGAACATGCATGGATGAAATTATGAGTGTTTTACCTTCAGGTTTACAAGGAGTTTTTCCCGGACATTGCTATCGGGTACGTGGATCCTCGTGTGAATGTACACATAGGCAATGGTAGGAAACAGAAAACTACATGTTGTTCGAGGAGTGTTGTCGGGTTTGTGTTTCGTAAAGTTGTCTAACTGTCGTAAACGTTGTTGTTATTTCAGGTGTGGCCTTCATCAAGTCTGTTCCTCCAGGCACCTATGATTCTATCATAATTGATGCATTTCGGGGGATGGGTATGTGATTTTTCACTCATTCTTCACAAGAACTGCGAACAAAAAACTAAAGTTAACAAACATGGCAGCAAACAAATCTTTGATAATGAATATCATAATTTTTACCTTAAAGAGAAGCTGAAGCCATAGTTGAATGTGGATATCAGGAGCTTATGCAACCGAGCTTTCGGATGAAGGCTTCCTTAAGTCGATCGCAAAGGCTCTGAAGCCAGGTGGAGTACTGTCGGCTCAAGCAGACAGCGTGTGGATCAAGAATTTCACCATGGAAGACACCATAACTCGCTGTCGTAACATCTTCAAGGGCTCTGTAAACTACGCTTGGACCTCTGTTCCTTCATATCCTAGGCAAACCAACCAAAACCAAAGCCAATAATTCTTTAATTTTATGCTTCTGCACAATCTGTAGTTTTCTGATGGTTCCTTTCCAAACTCAGTGGGTCAATAGGCTTCATACTCTGTTCGACCAACGGTCCTTCGGTCGTCGACTTCAAACACCCAGTGAACCAGTTGGACCCAGAAAAATTTGGTGTTGCAAATGGACCCCCCAAGTTCTACAACTCAGAGGTGGTTTCTTTGGTTCATATTTGTTCATAAGCCTATGCTATTCATGTCACTTCTAAGTTCTAACTAACTGCCTATGTTTTGCTGTTTAGATCCATACTGCTGCATTTTGTCTTCCTACGTTCGCTAAGTCGAAGATGGGTTCTACGTATGCATGAGAAACTCGGAGCTATAGGTATAAGAACATGCAAGCGTGTTGCATTCTATCAATAAGAGAAGTCCTATACAGCCTATACTGAAGTGTAGCAAATTCAGTGCTTTACTCAACTGTAGGATGAAGGAAATTGTTGTCAATTCTAATATAAATGAATGTATCGTTCTATCACAATGGGAGATGTCTGATTTCAAGATCTTTTGGTTGCATAGACTTTATACAAAGATAATGAGGTAGAAAAAAATAGACAAACAGAAACACTAGAACTCCGAGGTCAGCTTCTTCGCCAGCAGCTGGTCGACGAGGGTTAGCCCAGTATATCTGGCTTGCGCACCACATGGAATATAGTGTAGCTACTACTATAATAAGCTTAACCGATTGATACGATTGTTTAGGAATCGACTTCGCGGACTTCACTCTGTGTCGTAAAGAAGCATGAATTGAATGGTATATTTTGAGGGCATGCTAAAGATTAAAGAAAACTCTAATGACACACGAAATAAATGAATAGAATGAATATATTTGGTATCCACGAACCTGTTAATGTAAACAAAGCCGCCAATTAAGCAAGTGCACAAGAACCCAACCACCATAACAGCATCTGGGTTGATTGGTGCTCGGTTCTCCCACCAACCAGTGCTCAATATCCAAGTGTACATCGATGAATGCCCATTTTCCTGCAAATTTGACGATACAGATATAATAGTACAACCCATCTTGTTTAATCACATAGCACAAAATAGGCAAGAACAATCCCACTTGATATGATACATGTAACAGCTCAACCACACCGCTAGCCGATGTTGTCTTCTTTGGGTTTTCACTTTCGGGCTTCCCCTCAAGATTTTAAAACACGTTTAGTATTTCCACGCACTTATAAAGAATGGTTTGTTCCCCTCTCTAAACAATGTGGGACCCCACAATCCACCCCCTAGGGGACCTAGCGTCCTCGCTAGCACACCGGCAGGTGTCTGGCTCTGATACCATTTGTAACAGCCCAAGCCCACTGCTAGCAGATATTGTCCTATTTGGACTTTCCCTTTCAAGCTTCCACTCAAGGTTTTAAAACGTGTCCAGTAGAGAGAGGTTTCCACACGCTTATAAGAAATGTTTCATTCTCCTCTCCAACCGATGTGGGACCTCATAATCCCCCTCCCCCCACCCCCTAGGGGCCAGCATCCTCGTTGGCACACCGCCAGGTGTTTAGCTCTGATACCATTTGTAACAGCCCAAGCCCACTGCTAGCAGATATTGTCCTCTTTGGATTTTCCATTCCAAGCTTCCCCTCAAGGTTTTAAAACGTGTCCAGTAGAGAGAGGTTTCCACACGCTTATAAGAAATGTTTCATTCCCCTCTCCAACCAATATGAGACCTCATAATCCACCCCCATTTGGGGGCCATCATCCTCATTGGCACATTGCCAGATGTCTGGCTCTGATACTATTTGTAACAGCCCAAGCCCACTGCTAGTAGATATTGTCCTCTTTAAGGCTTTCCCTTTCGGGCTACCCCTCAACACTTTAAAACGCGTTCACTAGGGAGAAATTTCCACACTCTTATAAGGAATGCTTTGTTTCCCCTCTCCAACCGATGTGGGACCTCACAATACAACTTAAAGAAAGCTGAACAGATGAACTAATTGATCAAAGACAAGATATATCAATTGTACTTATCATCTCAACAGAGAACGTTTATCAACTAACTTGTTAATACAACAAAGATCTCAAGCTTCATTAACAAGATAGTAATAACGAGATGTATTTTCTCTTTGCACCCTCCTAGATAATAAGAAAACTTCTATTTTAACCCACGTCACATCACATCTATTCATAAAAGGTGCTTTACCAGAGGAGATGCTTCATTTAGCAGCATTATTATATTATATCAAGCAAGAATATTTCTTTTAAAAATGATTCAAGAACTTATGGAGGCAGAAAGGTTGGTAATGGGGCAATTCAAAATTCTTGATGTAAAGCTTACCTCAAACAAATGGTCAAGAAAGAAGTGTGAAAAAGAACCAGCAGAGATTAACAACAAGCATTGCATTTTATTAAGAGGTACCTGCATCATTAGAGCAAAATGAACAAGATGAAGGTTAAGCTTAAATATTTCAACACAATCTTATAAAGGATTGACAAAATTTTTCCATTTCTTTTCACGAGATGCAGAAAACTCATAAACATATCAATTGACTAACGCATTTGCTACTAAAAGAAAGACAGAGTTCTACAAAAATTCATCATCATACTTGCAATCAATCCATGCGAGCATAACTTGAGAATCATCTTACAATAAAGAAAAACAAAATGGAATCAATCATAACAAAATCAAGCCATAAGAACAAGTGAGATTATGTAAAAAAACGAGAGACCTAATTAGATTTTCCACACAAATTCTGCAGATTCACTACAATGATCCAAAAATCGAAAACAGAATTTCAAAACCTCCCCAATCGACGAAAGGACGAACTGATCGAGTGAAATGACTCACCCCAAAGACGGAATCGAGAAGGCCCTTGCGGAGTAGAAAGGAGGAGAGCCAGGCGTAGAAGAGGCAAAGAGGAAGACCCAGAATGAGGATGTAAAAGACAGGGTGATGGATGGCGTCGGGAACTGAAGATCCTGAGAAACCGAGAACAGAGGATAGCCATTCGGAGAAGGAGCCAATGTCGGGGCCGAAGAAGGCGTTGATGGTGTAAATGAGGGTATGATGGGGACTGAATCTACCGTCGCTGAGACTCATCAGAGCCATGCCTGAGCCCATGGCGTAGAGCATGTGCGGTCCAGGTCCAGGCATGGTTCGGTCTCCAACAATCACAGCCGCCGCCCAAGTTTGATAGAATGCCACTTCTAACTAGAGCTGAGGGGAAGGGAACGGAAGCCGTTCGCCGGACTTTTTTCCATTCATCCTTTTGGGCTTTTTCGGAAGCTTTTGGGCTTTTGAATATTGAACTGGGCTTTCTAGGGAGCCCAAACTTCCGTATTAGGTGAGTCATGTAGAAGCCGTCCACTTTTCGTCCAAAAAAAGTTATTAAAAAAAAAACCGTCCATTTTTATTATATATAAAAAAGTGAATATTAGTTAATGCCAGTAGTAGGCAGTGGATAGAAGCGCCAGCGAGATTTGATTCCGTAAGTGGGACCCACACCCTTGATCATTCGGATGCCAGCTAATCTCGGGCCCCACCCTGTTTGTACTATATCAGTCTGTTCGCGAAGTACAGGATCATAACCCTTCACCTCCCACAACGGCTTTAAAAAAGTCTCCGTTTTCCATTTTTTCGCATTATAATTACTCTTAATGCTCTCTCTCCCTGTCACGGCTCTGTATCTTTTGGATAATAGAACTACCGGCTAACAAACGGTGGGCCCTACCACTTTACCGGAAGTCTCCGGTCTCTGAAACCGTTGGCTCTATATACGGAGAGCGTTATCCGCCTCTGAAACCCTATATCTCTATCTACAGCTATGGGGGACCGTGACGGTGGTTTCAAAGAAATAGAATCAATCGGAGAAATCGACGGCGCCGATGCTCTTTTGGCGTCTAGACGCTATAGTTGTTTTTGCTTCCCTTGCTTTGGACAAAGCCGGTCGGCTTCCGACGAACTTTCTTGGTGGGAACGGGCGAAGGCGAAAGCGAAATCGACGAAGTTCGACGGCGAGGATCATTGGTGGAGTGGAGGAATCAGATCCCTCAAGAAGCTTCGTGAATGGTCCGAGATCGTCGCTGGTCCGAGATGGAAGACCTTCATTCGCCGGTTCAATCGGAACCGGCCTGCCGCCGTGAAGCTTGGGAAATTCCAATATGATCCCATCAGTTACGCTTTGAATTTCGACGAGGGACATAACGGTGATGTGAATTTCGAAGGGGATGAATACAGTGGTGGGTTTCAAAACTTCTCCGACCGGTTTTCCGCCGTACCGGCGTCGGCGAAGTCGTCGGGCGCGGCGGTGGCTAGTTAGGATGCTGGGGATTGAATGGGCGGTTTCCGTTCTGCGCTGGGGATTTAACGTATCTTTTTCAGTTGATGAGCTGGAAGTTGACCGTTTGCGATAGGAGGCACCAATGGCGTCGGTACGCGTGTTAAATAAGATAGTTTATTATATTGTGGGGGTGACGTGTAGCAAAATGATTGGTGTTCATATTCTTATAGACATAATTTTTATTTTTTCCGATTAAATTGTATATTCAAAATTTCAAGTAGAGATTTATTCATATAAACTAATATTTTCGTGATACTAAAGCTGTTTACAATAAAATTATTATTATCGTGATATATGGATGATATTAAATATTTTTTAATTATTTTGTGATAATATCATAAACTCTAGAAAATATATAAATATAATTTAAAATTTTCAAAAAATATTAGTTTAAATTACTACCTTAATAACTCAACTCAACATATCTTCCAACCAAACTTCATTCGAGTTGTGTTCGTTAATAGGCATGATCATGTGCAATCGAGCTACATGCACGGAAGAGTAAGAAGGAATTCTCTAACGATATTGCTTCTATTTATCTTGAATTTCATTGGGTCGTTTGTTTAACAATTTTTTCCCGTCTAAAAATGTTTGATTAATCCACCATACGTAAATGGTAGGAAAGTTATCTAATCCAATAAATTACTAACATATGGAAATAACAATAAATAGAAAGATAAATATGGTAAGAAATATTTGCCTTATAATAAAATATCAAATATGATATATATGGTAAACTATAATTTATTACTAAATATCCTTAACACGGTCAAAATCATTTGAAGGATTGAAGAATCAATTGAGTTACATGTCTTTTCTAAGAACGTACTTAAAACTTAAACATGTGTCATTGTATCGTTATTATACGCATCATTATCGTACCATTTCCTATCTTCATTTTCATATTAGGATTATTTTCAAACAAAATCAAAGTTGATCAAGAATGAAATACTTAAAAGATTAGGGGCGTTTTTTTAATATGCCTTAAAGTTCAAGAAAGATTCAAACCTCCAAACTGTGAGTTGTGAGATCACACGTTGCCCAAAAAAGACAATATCTACTAGCTGTGATATTGAGTGGTTACAAATGGTATTAGAGTCAGTCACATGGGATGATGCAATGCACTGGTCATAATAGAGCTAAACCCTCTCCTCGGTAAACAAATTAAAACCTTAAGAGAAAGCCCAAAAAGAATAATGTTTGTTAGCGGTGGACTAGGATATTACACGAGAAAACACTAAGACATGACATAAACTCGTATCTTTCTGACCCTATTACGTTGCTCGCCCTATTAGCTAGCCGGCACCAACCAACCAACCAGGATGCACCTCCGGATTGTCAGTAACATTTGTGTCAGGTTTTGAGCTTGAACAAGTAAAATGACAATGGTTGAGCATACACAGCCAGATCTGCAAGTAGAAAGGAGTTTTAAAACCATGGAAGAACTTGTAGCTCATAGAAATGAGAATCAGTAGTGATAGCCACACTATGTGAGGTCTAGTTTGCTCACAGATCATCAACATTTGGATCATCCATCCATATGCATAAATATCTATCATACAAGCTAAAGGTCTCAAGAAAAGGAAAAATTACTTGAAACCTGCAATAAACTTCTCAGCACCAGGCCTACCCATTGGAGCAAGAGCTACTTTGAAGGTAATAGAGGTTTAGGGGAATGAGAAAAGAGAACAGAACTCGTTCAAATGGGAGAAAAGCTTCGTAAGGAATCTTTTATTTGATGAATAAGGAGAAAGAGGAGTAAAGCAAGCTGTTGTGCGAGAGTGACAAGAAACGAGTAAGATATTACCGGGACGTGCTAGCAAATTCGCCCTACACTTGGGTCACGAGATTCCATTCCGGTTTTCGAGACCCAGAAGCTCGAAGCATCTCAACTATGAAGATGAAGAGACACTCATAATTATCAAATGGCCTGTTTGCTTGGTGATTCATTTACCCGCTTGCTCGCTTCCAACACAAGCATACTATCCTTCGTTCGCCCTCTATCACATAGGGAGAGACACTACTTAGACACCCTAGGTGCATTAAAACCTTTTTTTGCCTTATTATCAAAGAGAAGATGATGTGACTTGATGTCGCATACCGTAAAGATAAAAAAGGCAATGTAATAAAGGGCCAAACATATCTCCCGTTCAAGAACAAGATGAAGCAGAAGTACTTGCCGTGCATACCAAATAAAACGGATTCACTGAGACCATCATCTATCATCTCACATCATCCTGGATTTAGCATTTGAGACCATTGAATTCGCTTCTCTTGTCAGTCAAGTAAAACTACAGCTTCATATTCTCCACAAGAAACAGAACATTTGCATCAACCAAATGAAGCAAACTATTTAGACAACCTTAAAAACAAGAATGCCACAGAGATCTAACATTATTGTAAACAAAAAACGTGATAATCAAGGGGCTGTATTATGCAACTATAGCTACCATTGCATCCACAGAACACACATAAAGAAAGCTTTACAACAAACTAGATCCCCTTGTCTATTAACATCTAAACCAGAATTCAATCTTCATTATACAGCAGAAGATAATATAGCCCCTCTTTGAACTTGTTAGACAATGAGAAAAGGACAACATGAACAAGAAAAACATGAAGAAATAAGCATGTTCCTCCTCCTTCCCCAATTAACGAAACAGAATCATTACATCAGACATCAAACCAGCAAGAACGAAATAGCTTTATACAGACATCCCAGAATCTACGCACTTTGGATTTGGTTTAAAACAGGTCTTGTTCGAAGATCCATGTCTTACCCACTTGACCCAATATTGATTTTTGAAGTAAAATGGTTCTTTTCTCCCAATCAAATGAGGAAAAGGGAAGGTTTGCATCTTACCATGGCGGTTGAGGATTATTGGGAGTGAGTCCCACATTCGTTAATTTAGTGGAAGGTCATGGGTTTATAAGTAGAGAGTCATGATTCTTAACAATGGCAGCCTCTCAATGGCAGAAGCCCAGAACACAAGAGCTAAACTGAGAAATCATTTATATTTGTATTAAAAAAATGTCTCTAAGATAAATTTAATATATTAATGATGTAAACGGACTAATTTTGATTAGGTATTTGTAGCTATCAACCTTACCATTTTAAAACACGTCTCATAATCAAAGATTTTCACGCCTTAAATGTTTGAATGTTTCGTTTTGAATCCGAACTTAAAATCTCACAACTAATTTTATGATTTATAAATATAATATACCAAACCCATATAAATATACATTAAACACTCCCCAACGTGACGACCAATAGCTGATGAGAATATCACATCATATCATACATTTCTCAAGCCTCATCCTGCAATTTGAGGATGGTTTGAAGGGCACAGACTTTCAATCTCAAATGCAGTATATAATGAGCCGTTTTGACGAAGAGATGTTCCTGTTGCAGCCCTCTCCCACCGGGCACCACCCACCGGAGCTTCTGCACTTTCCGGCGAGCCTGGCGCGCTTCTCTCCTCTTCCTCTTCAAAGCAGGCACATTCTGATGGCAAGAGGAACCCATAAATTCAATACTAAAAGAGATGAGTTTGTGAATGGTTTGGAGGTTTGTTTATATAAGAACTCAGAACAGAGGCACAGCTGGGTGTGGGCTCTGTACACGTGTTAGGCAGATTCTGAATGCAAAATCATGGCCACTTGTTTGTTTGCCAGCATTCCAACATCTGTCCTTCAGCTCACGAGCTGGTGACTTGGTCATCACCCACATGCTGTGGCTTATCCAGTTCCTTGTAGAGAAGGGAAGTGGAATTCTGATCTGTATAACCATTTGGGTTACTCAGGAATGAATCAATTCAGTTCAAAACACACAGATTTCATCTAGCAGAGCAGATTCATTCAAACTTTCAGATTCTAAACAAGAACAGAGATATAATCAGTCCAGCAGAGTTATATGATTGATCTGTCAGTAAAATTGTTTCTAATTCAACCATGGATCATTTCATCTGTGCAAATACATCTGCAGATAGCAATGGACTGATAGAGAGACAAATTTCATTGAATGCTGAAAGCAAAGGGAGAAACAGCTCAATGGGCTGGCAGGGACCTACCTCATAATGAGACATTCCCTTGAAACCTCAAAATAAAGTATTAAGTCTTGGAATGGACAAGAAACCTCAACGCTGCCAAATAAAACCCCATGTGGAATCGAAGAGAATGGGAAGAAAGGAAGTAATACATCCACCTCTCTAACTTCAGCCTTGTCTCTCCCTTATCTGTATTTAATGTTGAGTACAAATGACTTTATCATATGCCTCAGATAACAAGTTACAATAAGAATAACTCATCTCTTTCACCTATATTAGAAAGGTCGTCCTGGTATCGAAACTTTGTATCTCTAAATAAACTTATAGATGACAAAGTTACAATGTCTTAGTCATAGAGCACTCATACAACTCCCGTGTATGCATTGCTAAAATTTTGATTTTAAGAGATTAGAAACCATTGACACACTTTTATAGTTTATCTGAAAAAAGCTTAAGCAAGCTAGTTTACCTATTAGTTATTTTCGTTAGAAGTTCATGACAGCTAACATGGTAAATTCGATCAGCTTTGGATACTAACGCTTTAGTTAACGTCAGAATTTCTTGTATCGTAGTTCAAAATTGTATAATGAGATTAAGGAGGAAGGCCCACTCGATGTGGAATTACACGTGGGACGAGGATAACAACTCTTTGCATTATGTGTTGGGTGAGTACACAAACTACCACACCTCTTTAGACTTGGTCTACATGTCTTTAAAAAGTAATCCAAAAATCATCTCATACATTCAACATATATAAAAAGGACTATGACACCTAGCTTTAATGTAAAAAGTGAAAGAACATTAAGGAGAAGGGAATGCAAGCTTGCTTAAGGTTATGGTACCCAATAAAGTTTTATAAGGATATATTTCATCACATTATTATTCGTGAGAAAAACAACCCATAAGGAGAAACTACACCATGCTTCATACTTCGAGCTACTTAGAGAAGTTGGCTAATTTTCATACCATTATCAATGGTAAAAGATGGATTGAGAAAACCATCAAATCCGCCTTACCAAGAACTAATATCATCTAATCAAAACTTCCAAGAGCTAAGAAGTCGATACAATGCAATTTTAACTCTCGATTCATTCTATTCTTCATTCTAATCCTTTCAAACTTCGACCTCCTACCGTTTGTATTAAACCCAACGTCATGAAGAAGGAAAGCATTCGCATACTTCAAATGGAACCCTTCAGAACCTGGGCATACTCGGCAGGGTGGAAAACGAAATACGATAACCTACGTAATCAAGTATACCTAATTTTTCATTCTGAAGTTAGGTCTTGAGATCGTTAGACATAGCTGAGGGTATGCAGTGTGTGGCCAGAATATCTAAAGTGGCTGCTTTGGCTGTGCTTGTACGGAGGACAACTATCTGGAAGATTTGCAGCAAACAAAAAAATCAGACTTGGGATATCATTAAAAAAATGGAGGAGATGATTCTTAAGACAGGAGTGGGGATAGAACCTGTTGATATTCTAAATCAAACTTCAAAAACTCATCATCGCAACTTTCAACCATGTTAGCCAAGCTCTTGAGGTTCTTCACAGGTTTACCATTGAAAGCAAGAACCTATGGTGCACAAAGATGATCAATCATTGTAATTACGTGCAGTTAAAATGGCGTCTTTCCGTAGGCTATTAGCAAGATATAATACAAACCTGGGTGTTAACAATGTCTTCATATCCAATGTTGATATCAGCCACGAGTACCTGCAAGAAATTTACATGATAAAAGGAGAAAAGATTGAGAAGTTGAAAGTCCAAAAAGAACACACATTATATAGTTTCCAAAAAGAAATACACAACATTATGTAGCGCACTGAAGTGAAGACAGAGAAGCGAGTAAAGGAGAGAACCTGAGAAACCACCACGAGCTGCTCATCTGGTGATTGTGGCATTGAATGCAATAATTTGTCCAATAGTTTGACTGGAGCTTCATATTCATAATCCTTTCCGTACTACAATTCGAAGCATTTTCAGAAAGTTCAGTATCATGGTGTAAGAAAACTTAACATCAAATCAGTGAAAGACTTCAAAATTCAAATATATGTGTGTGCGCGCGCATGCATATATATACAAATCATAACTTGTAAAAGTGAACATTTGAGAAGAAGAGTGATGTTAGTGATCTCTTCTAAAATTTACTCTCTTTTGTACTATTCTGTCACCATTCAGTATTTACGACTGATTTGAAATTATTTGCTTAAACACTCAGGATTGTTCCATAAACTTGCTATCAGAAGATTCGTTCATATACTGATGTCTATTTACCCTGTAAAGCCTTTCACAGAGGAAGGCAACATTTCTTTTTCCCATACCTCCAATGCTAAGCCTCCATTTTCCTTCAACTAACTCAACTAATGCCACGGTTACTGCTTAATCTCACCCTTGGGGAATATCCATTCAAGAAAGAAAAGAAGGCTCTGTGGGAGAATTTTATTAAAGTTTTCTATCGAAATACTTGGCAAGAAAGAAATAGGCGTATCTGCCAACATAAAAGTCTCTCCTTCCATAATTTTATTAGGCTATAACCAATAAGGTTGTTTCTTGCTGTAACTGTTCCCCTCTTTTCCACCCCTATAGCTACTCCTCTTCTCTCCTCTCCTCTCCAATTGGAGAGGCCCCTTGTAATCTCTCTTTTGGGGTTCCCCTCCTTTTGTAATTTCATACCATCCATGAAATTGTAAAAAACCAAAAAGAAAGAAACCTCAATGCAAGCCACCCTCCAAATTAGCTCCTTCTGAAAGAAATCCCCAAGAAACTCATCCAGAACATACCACACAAGAATGAATCTTCTTAATAGGCCTAAGATCTGACACATCAAGACGGCTATAGTGTTCTCAAGGATGCTGCTGCTACAAGTTTCAAAGTTTGATTTACTCTCCACTCACAATGAAATAGTACCAAAATAGAAGGTAAAAACTGTGCATAGAGAGCCAAGAGCCAAGAGCTATAGAAGTTGCACAGACAATAAGAGAATCATGCCTAACAACATTATGCTACTTCAAAATTTCATGAAAATTTTTTATAAACAAACTTTTAACACTAAGATTCTATTTCATACCCTTTTAAAATCCATCATTTAAAATCTAAAAAAGGCAGAAATGAAAATCATCAAGAAAAAAAAAAGCAACTAAAGCCTTTTCGTAGAATTTGGGGGGAAGGGGAAAGTATTTTGGGAACAAACCTCAGAACGGAGATAAGGAACGGAGACAGTGGAAAAAACAAATCCTGCAATAATGTAATAAGAAGGGGGCTTGCCCTCATTATGTGCAGGAATGAGCCTTCTGTATGTTGCAAGCTGGTAATTAAAACTGAGTGTCTCAGAGTTGCGCAGAACTTTTATTGTTGCACTATCACCAGTATATTTCTGGGAGACAAGGTAACTGAATCCTATACGCTCACCGTGCCGGAAAGGAACTGCAAGACAGCAACAGAGAGTGGGCTATCAAATAAAAAAGAAGAGGAATCTACAGAATTCTTTTTCCAAAACAGACAGAAGAAACAAACTAAGGATTAGATTCTGCCATGCACTAGCATTAGACCCGCAAATCACTGTTTTATAAACGCGCCAGATATATTAAATGCTCAATAGCCTCTAGAGATTAAGTGCATACAAGATGCCAAAAAAAGAGCCAGCTTCGGTGAAGTGGGGTGAAAAGAAAAGAAATATATAAAAAATATTGTATAATGAAGCATGACATAAAGGATTTTAATAAATGAGATGAGAAATCTTCCAAAGAAATAGGCACCCACCATTTTTCTCTTTTCGTATTTAGAAGAAGAAAAGAAACAAAGATGCGAAAAGCTTGCTTTTTAAAAATATTGCTTTGAATAACGGTACTCAGCAATTACGCTTTAACCTCCAGGCTTCTACCGTAGGGGAGCTTTTTACTCAATTAGTTGGTGATTTACTCTCCATGAAGAAAGCCAGAGTGCAGTATAATACCTTGGCTTTAGGAATTATAGCTAGAAGTCAACAAAAGAATTTTTGTGGGAAAGGGAAGTGAATTTTACTATAGTAGGAGGTTTTTATTTCTCTGATTTCGTCTTCATGGACTATGGAATGGACATTGTAATCAATCACCCTCCCATATTGCTCATCCTAAGATAACATGTTATCCTATTGATTAGGTTAGTCTATCTACCTTAATTTGTACTTTTGGTAATTAGTGAGCCATATGTAGGTATATTTTGCTAATCTTGTCAGTGTTAATGGAAGTAATCCAAATATGTAATTACTATTATGCAACAAGAGGCTAAAGTAGTCTATAGATGGTTGCCAGTTCAAGGATGGTGTTTTTACATTGTGTTAAAATGATAAAACATATATTTACCTGTTCCATCATTAGCAATATCAACCCCATCAAAGCCGAGAATAATATCTGATGGCTTCAAAACTTTGGATTCTGGGCCAGTGGGATCAATACGTCTAATACGGACACCCTTCTGATCTTTTTTCATCCCCATAGCCTCGCAAAGATCAGGATTTTCCATTTTCTGCCACTCAAGACCAAGAATTGGAAAGCCTGGCATCCAAGAATGTTATTGCTTTAAGTAAAGAACCAAGTAAATCATTAACAAAGACCAATGCCAATCAGTGACGATAACATAAAAGAACCAGTCTGTTCTTCATCCCTCTCCAAGTGCCCAAATACCTGTATATGCTCCATTCTTCTCGTAATCCCGTATAAAATGCAAGATAACTGGCGTTGGTATGACATAACCTATATTTTCTGCATCTTCATGCTTGAGTGACTGAAATGCAATGCCCACACAGTTTCCTTTATCATTAAAGGCAGGCCCACCAGAATTACCAGAGTTTATAGCAGCATCTATCTACAGCAGAAAAAAGAAGTAAAGCATCGGCCATTAACCCTATTCCTAAAAAACTAAATAGCAGAAAATATGGTCAAGTCGCAAAAGCTCAAAACCTGCAGACCGAGAAGCTCGGTAGACCCATGAACATAAGACAGGATCTCTATCCGCGATACAACCCCACTAGTGACAGAAATTGTATCACCTCCAATTGGGTAACCAACAACAGTTACTGCATCTTGCAGTGCAGGTAATTCCCCAAATTCTACCGGTGAAACTCCCACCCAAAACTCGTCATCATCAACAGTAAGCATTGCTGCAACACATACATCATAATACTCGATGCTTTGAGTTCACAACACAATAAATAAATGGAACAATAAATTCATGCAAGTACAAGGCAACAACATAAATGGTAGGTAAGCCTATGATTACATGCATCCTGATTCACTTACACCATTCATCTTTAATTATGGAGAGTTTTATCAATCCTTGTCTCTCTTTCACATTAAGCTTACATATTTATCCATCATTAAGTTTCTTAATAGCAACCAAACACACGTGCACACTGAATCTCATCTAAAATAACCAAGTTTAGTGTATTATCGAGCCTTTCCTAAACCAACATGAATTTCACCATTTCCTAAGCCTAAATAATGAATTTCCGTGCAGTTAAGCCCACGAAGGAAGGTATGACCAGTATTCTCAACTCTAGCAACAATACGGTCTTGAATAGCCGGAATGCATGATAACGTTCTCATAATTTCAGATTGAGATAAACATAGAAAATAGGTCGAGCATGATCTAATGTGAAGATTTCACCGTCATATTCCATTTCGAACCTCGTGAATTTAATAAAAACCCAAAGACAACGAAGAAGGAGAGAAAAGTTAAGGACAACGAATATCATTACCGATGTCGCATTCAGTTCCAATCGCAAGTACGGTCGCCAAGTACTTCGTATCCGACCCACGCTTCTTAAGCTTAACCTGGGTATGATGCTCGACGGAATGAGCATTAGTGAGCACTCTCCTTCCACCAATCACAAATCCACTGCTACTCGAACTATATTGCCTCTTTCTCTGCCAAGGAAGTGAGAAATTCGGCTCCGTGTGCACACAAAATACCTTGACCACAGCGTCCATCGCCGGCACGACTCTCACGATGCCCGGCCACTCCGGCTGCACCCGTTCCAAAGCGATATCAGATGGAAAGACGTCGCCGGAAGCGGTAAATTCGCCATTTTCGACACCACGAGGGCCACGTCTAGAAGGAGACAATTGCGGGAACTTGTCGGGATTTTCCATATGTTTCGAAAGCTTCTTCGGCCTCCCACGGCGGTTCTGGTGAGGTTTGGAAGTGGAGGCCGGGTCCATGAGCTCGACGTTGCTGACTGAAAAAACGTCGTCCATAACCATCGCAACACTGGTGGCGGTGGCAGTGGTCGGCGGAGGAAAATCTAGAGAATCCGCCTTGGAATTTTTCGGCTTTCTACCTCTTTTACGTTTGACTTCTCCCATTTCCGAAGAATTGAAGGGGAGAGAGATCGGAGAGGGTTTATCAGAGTGGAGAAAATGGGTTTTCAATTTCCGCTCCTCCGCTGAGCCCCGAAACTCAGAATAAGGGAAAGGTAGATCGGAGCGCGCAAATGGCTCCTCTCTTTATACTAACTTCTTTCATTCTCTAACCAAAAAAAAACCTCTTTCTTATAATTTAAAAAACTATTATTCTTTTTTTTTTTTTTTTTTCAATGATTTGGTTTATAAGGGATCAAACGTGTACTTAATTTTATTTAATTCTATAATTGTGTTTTAAATATTTATTCTCTAACAATTTTAAAAATAAAAATTTAAAATTTTAAACTACATGTAGTTGTAGTTTCTTTTTTGTTGAAAATTTTCAACTTAAATAAATGGATTAAATTTTTTTAAAAAAATGTCCCGATTCAACACCACCTTAACAACTTAGACCTTATTTGAGCTAAATAATTTTATTTTCTTAACTGCTAAGTTGTTGCATTTGGGCCTCTGCAAACAGCCCAAAAGTAACCACTCTAGGCCCAATTAAGCCAAGCCCACAGTCCAGAAAGAAGCCCAAGAATCAATAATGAGCATTCAGTCAAGCCGGAGGCCCATTACAAGTCAAGAACATATATCCAAATAACATTGTAATTTGTATCATAATTCCAATATTTTTTTTTTTTTTTGCGTAGTAGTTTAACCGCATGTGACGATCGAGCTTATATTCAGTAGTTATTAAAACCGTTACTACAAGATAGCCTCATTGACTAACTTCTCCAATCCCATTTTCAGAATCTACATCGACCCGTTGTTACGAAGCAGATTCATCAAATAATTTAACCCTTCTTTCAACGTATTCGGTCATACGAGCTAAAGATTTTTAAAAAAAATTTAAAAATCCGAATATATGTAAGAATTTGTATAAGTTGTAAGGACACTGCTAACAACAGCAAAAGCAGATTCCTTTGGGATTGCCATGGCCACTGTCAGGCCCTTCTACCCAATTCTTGCCATTGTTTATTGGTCCCTTTTTCGAATACTAACAGTTCCACCCACAATAATGCATACCCAATTAAAAATTACACGAGTCATATTAATTAAGGAAAAGATTATGGGTATATAAATAAAAGACATCATCTGTAATGTCCCACATTGATTGAGTACGAGAACAAAACGTTCTTTGAGTATGAAAACTTTCTCCTAACAGGCGCATTTTAAAATTTTGAGGGAAAGCTCGAGGAGGACAATAATGGTGTTGGGATGTTAATGATAATAAAGTTTTAATTAATGAGATGTTAATGGAGATTAGTTGGGTTAATAATGTAAGAAAATGATATTAATAAGAGGAAGAAGATTATGGGAAAGACACAAAATCAGACAACGGTGTTGGTTCCTTATTTTTAATCAATGTCTGTTTCTTGGTTCCCACTGGCTGCTACAACCTGCCAATGGTCCCATTTACACCTTTTAATAACAATTCCTTTTTTTTTATTAATAATTTTAAAAAATAATACTTAATTTTCGTCTCTTATAAAACGATATTTAAAAGTAAAAATAATTTTTTAAAGTATCCAAATTTATTATAAAAAATAAAAAAAAACCCACTTTATTTTTTGTTTTTAAAATTTGAATTTTGATAAATATTTTTTAGAAAAAAAATAACAAAATAAAGTATTAAACTTTCATTTTTTATTTTTTGGTCCAAACTAAAACGTGGTGATTGGAATATATTAATTTTTCAAGCATAGACTGAAAATACACAATATTATTATTATTATTATTATTATTATTATTGAAATATAAAAATTTCTATTGTCCTCACATGGCTAGACCAAACAAGTAAAAAGCTTAATCTAACAAATTTGAGCTCAAAATAAATAAATAAATAAATAAATTGAGATTTAAAAATTTATTAAGACCAAACTAATTATATTTATTTTAATGAGCGATTAAAGTCAATTTTCCAATAATTAAATATTTATAAATCAGACAAGTTTCCTTAAATGAGGGTGGTTAGTAAAGAAAAATAATAAATTACCAAATCCAAATTAAATAGTGTGAATATCTTTAAATATCTCCCATATAAATCCCATGCCCTAATGTTGGCAGTTACAGAGCATATAAATAACACAAATGATGTCACGTAATGTATTTATTGTCAACTCTAAGGGTAAAAATGTCAAGATACTAAAAACAAATATTTTCATTATTTAACACGTTTGGTAAAGTTAAAAGCAGAAAATTAGTTTTTGCAGTAAATAATATTATCTTTTCATTACTAATTACATAAAAAGAGAAGAAAAAAAAAGAACAAATTAGATGCTTTCTTTTTTTAATGTGAAGAGACGTATTTGCCCTTCGGTGATTTACAATATTACCCATATGAATCAAAACGCACCGTTTTGCAGGCTATAAAACGGTCGGTGTTTGGCCATCTGACTCTCGAATTCGATCTTCTTCTTCTTCTTCTTCTTCAACCTCGCCTCCGTATTTTAGAGAGAGAATCATAACCAAAAACGAAACCCGATGGGAAATTGCCAAGCCATAGACACAGCATCTCTAATCATCCAACACCCTAACGGAAAAGTCGACCGATTTTACTGGCCGGTAAACGCCGGCGAGATCATGAAGTCAAATCCCGGGCACTACGTCGCCCTTCTCATCTCCACCAAAATCTGTCCATCAAAATCCACCGCCAGAGAACGCCGCCGTGATCAGGACATCCAAACAAACACCACAAATTTCAACTCGGTCCGATTAACCCGAATCAAGCTTCTCAAGCCGACAGATTCGCTCGTTCTCGGCCAAATTTACCGCCTTGTAACAAACCAAGGTCTGTTTAATTCTTGAATTCTTAGCTTATTTTCACTAATTCATCCGGTTTTGAATTTGGTATTGTGGGTTTAGATGTGTTGCAGGGATTGAAAGCGAAACAGGAAGCGAAAATGAAGAGAAATTCGTTGGATTTTGAAGGGAAAGATGGAAATTTGGAGAAGGGATCAGAAGGGGAAATGAATCAGGTGGGTTTTTAATTAATTTTAGTGATTAAATTTTATTTCATGAGTGAAATATGAACATTTTAGTTCCACTTATTTTGCAGGGGATGAAATGTGAGAAAAACAGAGCAGTGTCGTCGGCGGCGAAATCGAGAGGGTGGCAGCCTTCTCTGCAAAGCATTTCCGAGGCCGGAAGTTGAGGGTTTGCGGTTTCCGATCAAGAAGATATAAAAATGAACAGAAAATGGGTGATTTTTCAGGAGTTTTTAGACACAGATTTGTGCATATGTAAGGAATAGCTCATTACAGAAACAGAGCAGAGAGAGAGAGAAAAAAACAGGGGATGAAAGGGTGTATTTGTAATTTCATTTGAGAAATTGAAATTGGGCTTGGAAGATTAAAATAATTCCCACTCGTTATTATTTCCTATTTTTGATTTCTCTTTTTACTTTCATTAAAAGAAAAAATAAAAATAAATTAGTAAAAATAATCCACAAAAATACCTTTAAATTTAATAAAAATAAATACTATTGATTTAGACGGTTATATTTTAAACTTTGGATTTTAATTTTTTAATATTTCTTGAAAATCTAAAAAATTTCAAAAATAATGTTAATGTCCTTAAATTAAAAATAATATTAATATCCTTAAATACACGGTTTTGAGTATTTTTTTAACAACATTTTAATTTTTTTCCATAAAAAAAAAAGAGTAAATAATATTAATATAAAATTTATGAATTTTTTTATTATTAATTTAGCCTTAAAATAAAATTTTAAAGTTTGTATCATTTTGTTAGAACTAAAAATAATTATTATTTTAAATTCTTATTAAAATTATAAAACGTCAAAATATTAAGATATATTCAATATTTATTACATTCGAGATTTGAGATTTAAATTCTATAAAATTTAATTTTAAAAATTAAAAAAAGTAATAGTTAAAAGTTTAAGTTCGAATTGAACGATCAAAAAAGAATATAATGAGATTGAGATGAGATTGTGGTCACACATCCTATTATATCAGACATTCAATCTTATGTTTTCTTTTCGACAACATGGGACCATTTCATCTCCAACGTTGACATCGACAATCCAACCCCTCCTCCTCTAAGCTTAGACAACATTCATCATTACTCTTTTGAAAATCTTAGAATGTTTGTTTGTTCCCTTTTCCACCCCCACATACTTCCTTTCCTCACTCGACCCCACGAAAGATCATTTAATGTGATCGCCATCTCTCATAAATGATACTTTGAACTTTTCTACTACATTCTAACCATTCTAATGTGAGATCCTATGGACACCAAAACGAAACATTTCTTATAAGAGTGAAAACTTCTCCCTAATAGACATGTTTTAAAATTAGGAGGCTGACGACGATACATAACAGGTTAAAGCGGAGAATATCTACTGGCGGTGGGCTTAAACTGTTACATATAAAGATTCAAGAAACAACATAGACGAGATTGATAACGTGTCGAGTTTTGAGTATGATGGGTGTTTGAGACAAAGGGAATGGGGAAAGTTAAATGGATGTGGGGCATGTAGTGTTTGAGATTGTGTAAGCAAAGGAAATAATGTTAAAGGGGATGGGATTTTGACCCAAAAAGGGGAATTGATAGCAATGAGTCGCATGAGGCACTGAGGGTGAGTGCTGTTTTGCTTGTCTTTCTGTGCCATGCAAGGCCACGCAGCATGCTCATAGACATACCCCACCCCATCACTGCCGATCACTATGCATTTTCACAGACAAAGCAAGAACATGCTGCGCCCATTTGCTTTTTGTTTGTAGCTACCTTACACTTTCAATTCAATATTCATTTGGCTTCATCATGCATCATGCATCAAAAGTATGTACATAGTTTGACTCACTCTATCAATTATGTATTCACATTCATGGTTTCTTTTATAATCATTTTATGAAATCGGTTTTATCGTTCTTGCTATGCGTGTGAAATGATCGTCTCTCTTTATACTTTGTGATTCTCTTATACGGAACAATGAACAAAAACTAAGATAAAATAGGCTCACTTATATGACTAGTTTACCCACCGAAATATAATGAAAGACTATTTCACCCGAAACAAAAGGATTAGATCCTTCGACACAGCATGCAACAGCTCGAATACAAAATAACTTGTATTCATTTATGTTCCCTATTCTAGACCTTCAACGTTTAACATTTCATAGATAAGAAAATAGTTGTTTTGAGAGTGAAGTTTTTCACTACGATTCAAGTAGGAATTATTTTGAATTGAATAGGTCAAAGAACTTAGAACCTATAAATTCCGAACCTTTTGATATCATAAAAAAGAAGGGTCTCTAAAGCCTATATAGAGTAGAGTAAATAATTTGTAGCTAGAAATCGTGATGCTAACCCTAACATATCCTATGTAATAGCAATATGAATCAATGGATATCCATTTACACACAAAAAAAATTGATATGGAATTCATGGTTCATCATGAGATATGCATTCACAAAAGTTTCATTTTTTTTTAAGATGAATTTGATTCCAATTCAAATAAACAACAAATATGTTTAACGATCCATCATATATTCGAACGTGTCATCATAACACAATCATAATATATGAATGTGTCATCATAACAGACAGATATAGATTTTCAACTGATAAATAAAAATGTTCTAATATGATCTGGATTATAAGGATAGAAAATAAATAGAAAAAGAATGAGAAAATGAGGAAATGCAAAAATAGGAAGTGGGTGAAGAACCACACATATTGATGGAAGAACAAGAACCATTAATCTAAGGAGCTTTGAAGGGGTTTGGATAACTGCAAGCCCCATAAAATTCTCCACTCCACTAGACCCATTCTTCATTAATATTGCTTCCTTTCTCTTCTTCTTCTTCATTGCCCACCATTGGAATAGGCTTCCCCATTGAAAAATAGGTTAGGAGGAAGCTAAGTTTTCCCTCCGCCATGGCTTTCCCTTTACATTTCCTCCTTTTTCCCATCATGATCACCTCCCTACCCATCTCCCCGATCGACTCGAAGCTCACAGTCGGTTATTACCAAAAAACATGTCCCAACTTTGAGAAGGTCATTCGCGAGACCGTCACGAGTAAGCAAATCACCAGTCCTGTCACTGCGGCTGGAACCCTTCGTCTCTTCTTCCACGACTGTTTTGTTGATGGTTGTGACGCTTCTGTCCTCATTGCCTCTAATTCCTTTAACAAAGCGGAGCGTGAGGCTGAAATCAATCACTCCCTTTCTGGTGACGCGTTTGATGTGGTCACCCATGCTAAGACCCACCTTGAACTTTCGTGTCCTGGTATTGTTTCTTGTGCTGATATCTTAGCTCAAGCAACACGAGATCTAGTGGTGATGGTGGGAGGGCCGTTCTATAATGTCCGTTTGGGACGAAAAGATGGAATGGTTTCGAAATTGGAACACGTGGAAGGGAACCTCCCTGAAGTGAAGCACACGGTGGATGAACTCGTGGATTTCTTTGGCCAGAGAGGCTTCAGTATCCAAGAAATGGTGGCCCTCTCCGGTGGCCACACCATTGGATTCTCTCATTGCAAGGAATTCTCCGATCGGCTGTTCAATTTCAGCGCCACCACACCCACCGACCCCGACATCTACCCCAAGTTTGCCGACAAGCTCAAGGAAATGTGCGCCAATCGCGACAAGGATACATCCATGTCAGCATTCAACGACGTGATGACACCTGGAAAATTCGACAATATGTACTACCAGAATCTCCCACGTGGACTGGGCCTGCTGGCCACCGACCATGCCTTGGTTAAGGATCCTAGGACCAAGCCGTTCGTGGACCTTTACGCCGTTAATCAGACGGCGTTTTTTCACGACTTTGCTCATGCTATGGAGAAACTCAGCGTTTTCGAAGTTAAAACGGGAAGGAAAGGAGAGGTTCGACGAAAGTGCGACCTCTTTAATTCCATCAAGACGTGAGACATCGTTTCTTCTTTCGTTCTGTTTTTTTTTTTTTTTTTTTTTTTTTACCAAATATTCAAAACCCAAAAAATAATATGCAAATCAATCAATGTTGTTCTAGGACGAAGAAGGCCAAAAAAAAAATCTTTTTTTTTTTTTTTTTTTTTACCAAATATTCAAAACCCAAAAAATAATATGCAAATCAATCAATGTTGTTCTAGGACGAAGAAGGCCAAAAAAAAAATCTTTTTTTTTTTTTTTTTTTTTACCAAATATTCAAAACCCAAAAAATAATATGCAAATCAATCAATGTTGTTCTAGGACGAAGAAGGCCAAAAAAAAAATCTTTTTTTTTTTTTTTTTTTTAATTTTCTAAAAATTGGTGTTGATCAGTTGTGATGGTATAGTGCTTCTCATGGTCAATTACGTATTTCCTTTTATATAAATATTTCATATTTCTTTATTTATTTCTTTCCCGAATAATTTTGAAATTATCAAAATATTTGGCTAAATGGGCGAGTAGAACTATTTAATTTGGAGCCACACAAAATTTATTATTTAATTTTGTTAAGAGGTGAAATGTTTTATTTAAAAAAATTTATATTATTTTAAAGAAAATTGTTATAAAAAAATGCATAGGAAAATTAAATAACTATACACAGTAACTAAATCCTAAAAATAAAATACACTTACAAAGGAGAGGGAAAAAGAAAATCAAAACTTAGTAGTATTGGTAGAATACCGGTTCAAGGCAGTACCAGCCCGGCCGGTCCAGCTGACTTCACCGGCGTCGAGACCATGTCGGCGGACGCCTTCAATCTCAACGGAACCGCTCCCGCCCGTTCTCATCATCTCCAAGATCCTCTTGGCCTTCTCCCGCGCCCTCTCGCTTCCCCTTTCTTCAACCTCTCTTAGAACCTCTACCGCGCCGGCCGCCTTCGCCAATCCCTTGAATCGGAATCCTCCTTGACTCAATGCGTGCAGCGCAACTACACAATTCTCCCGAGTCGACTCGGAACCCATCTCTTTCTCCCTCAACATCCCGACCAAACAATCCACCGCATTCGCATCCAGCATCGCCGATCTTCCGTCGGCACAGACGGAGAGATTGCATAGAACCAGCAGGATTCGGCTCGCAGAGCCTTCGATTCTCGTCAACGATAGAAGTATTGGAACGGCGCCGAGTTTCACTAGTTTCACACGGTTGCTAGGGTTTAGAGTCAAATGGTACAAACAAAGAGCCGAATCGTTCCTCGTCCGCTCACTCTCGGATCGGAGTGTGTTCATCAGTACCGGTAACGCGCCGAGAATTCCAATGGCCATTTTGTTCTCGTCCTCTAATGATAAACTGAACAGAGCACCGGCTGCGTGTTCTTGAGATTCTGCGTATCCGCTGTCTAAAACGTCGATTAATGACGGAACGAATCCTGCTCGTAGGATCTTTAATTTGTTCGATTTCTCGAGGGAGAGATTCACGAC